CTCACTGCAAGCTCCGCCTCCCGGGTTCCCGCCATTCTCCTGCCTCAGCCTCCCGAGTAGCTGGGACTACAGGCGCCCGCCACCTCGCCTGGCTAATTTTTTGTATTATTAATAGAGGTGGGGTTTTACCGTTTTAGCCAGGATGGTCTCTATCTCCTGACTTCGTGATCCACCCGCCTCAGCCTCCCAAAGTGCTGGGATTACAGGCATCAGCCACCGCGCCCGGCCAGTTTGAATGACTTTTGGAACAACTCAGATCTCAAGTTTGTTACTGATTTCACTTTTTTTTTTTCTTTTAAGGAATGTGTTTACTGTGAAAACAAGGAAAAAGGTAATATTTGCATACCATATGAGGAAGATATTCCTTCTCTGGGACTCAGCGAAGTGTCGGACACCAAAGACGACGAAAATGGATCCCCCTTGAATCACAGGATCGAAGAGCAGACGTAACCCCTGCCCCACCTCAGTCCAGCAGCCAGCAAGCTACACAGGTGGTGCTTGGAAGAGACGAAAGATCTTCATGGCTGTTTCCACTGAAATGGACACATACGCTCATGTTGCTTTTTTTGTTTTAGAAAAAAAAAACATAGTTTTCTGAAGGGGTGACTTAAAACTGGAGAGTGGCGAGGGTTTGGAAAGAAATATGTTTTTATATATAAAATATATATGTAGAGTTTTGTGGGATGGGAAGAGACTTTAGCTGTTATTTAACTTGAGAAAGACTAAACGCCTCTTCGTGTCAGGGAAGTTGCCTCAGTGCTCCCAGAAGTCCTGTGACTGTGATGAGACCTCTGTCTGCTGCACCAGTTGGGGACTCTGGCTTCCAGAGCTTTCCCAGGGTGTTTGGATCAGATCAAATTTTGTCCTCTCTTGGGGACTGCTTTTTATCTGAATTATCATTTAGTCAAGGTAGATTTTTTTTTTTTTTTTTTTTTACATACCAAGTGGAGATAGCAGCCTCTCCTAGTTTTCTTTCAAAACGTTTCACATTACATGGTGTGAAGCATTGTTTGGCAAACCAACAGCTTTGGCTTCTGGTGTGGTCAATATTTCAATCTGACATAGCTTTTGTTTGTAGTGAACAAAGTTGAAACATTTGCTCTGGACTAAAGAAGCCTAGTGGTTTGTGTGGCCACCTCCATCGGATGAATGCACACGCAGACCCTCTGCATATTTCTGCATCGTTCTTGTCTCCTTTTCAGACCATGATGGCTGATACAGAGATTGAAATATGTCATCAGTCATCTCTTTATGGTGACTTCCCTCTGCAAACCAGGCTGTGACCAACACATGTGGGACCCAGTCCTGTTTGGTCTTCTTCCGTTGGAGCCACCCAGACATCAGCTTCCACCCAGCCAAGCCCACATCACATCTTCTGGCTGAGAGCAGCCACTGCCACTCAATCCCACAGCTTGCAACTGCGTCTGTATTTTCAGGGGTGCAGTGAGCTTACCTCTCCCGCTGCACCCTGGGTTGGGTGCCCAGCCCTCATTCTTTTCATGAGCCCGACCTCTCTCGGAGCAGCTTTAGGCCTCTGCCAGTGTCCCCAGCACTTTTAAGTCATTTGGATACTTGCGGAAAAGTGAGGCCAGTCTGCCCAACTTTTTACAAAACCTCATGTTGCATTGTATATTCCAAAGATGGTTTGGAAAATTTAATATTCATCCCTGGTGGGAATTCACAGTTATCACTGAAGAACAGTTGACTTAAAATTGGACCAAGACTATGAGGCTTAAAAGGGACCAGGGTTTTCTTTTTTTCTTTTTTTTTCTTTTTTTTTTTGAGATGGAGTTTCTCTCTTGTTGCCCAGGCCGGAGTGCAGTGGCACCATCTCGGCTCACTGCAACCTCTGCCTCCCAGGTTCAAGTGATTCTTCTGCCTCAGCCTCCTGAGTAGCTGGGACTACAGGCACCCGCCACCACGCCCAGCTAATTTTTTGTATTTTTAGTAG